CCCCAATTCTAACTCGCAATCGTGAGTCAAAATTGTGAGATATAAAATTGCTATTGTGAGAAGAAAGTCAAAATTGCACAAAAAAAGTCTGAATTTCGAGTTTATGTCGCAATTCTGACTTTTTTCTCACAATAGCAATTTATATCTCACAATTCTGAGAAAAGACGTCAGAATTGCGAGAAAAAATGTAAACACGCATTTGCGAGAAAAAGTCAGTCGCAAGTTTATTTCCCACTTTTCTGACTTTATAATTCACAATTCTAAGTTTACATCACACAATTCTGAGAAAACGTAACTCACAATCGTAAGAAAAAGTCAGAATTGTGAAATAAAAAGTCACAATTACCTTTTTTATTTTTATTCAGTGGTGGAAGCGGGCTGCTATAAAATCATGTATGCTTTACCTGTGTTGTTTTGTGGAGGCCTCTGAGCCTCTTGTCCTCTGCCTGCGTTAAAACCACTCGACGGTCTCCGGTTCTGTGCATTCGGGCCTCTTCTGGGGTTCGGTCCCGCAGCGTTTGGAGCAAAAGTTGCCTTGGAAAGATGCCTCAGGACTTCGATGTTGGAGTACAGATCCTTCATGATGGCCATGAGTTCGGTGGGGACGCCTCTGTCCTGCAGCGTCTTCAGCGGATGCGGCTCGTAGAAGTCATGAGCACGAGTGCAGTCGCAGGAGCCTCGCAGATATTTCTCGCAGATGTGGAGCCTCTTACAGTTCTCGGCGTCCGGACAGCGGCCGTATTCTCCCGTGCCATTATTATACGAATGACACACCTGAGAAACAAGCACCATTTTCAGGCTCAACACAAAACTCTATACTTAGAGCAAAACGTGTGAAATGCTCACCGCTGGCAGGAATGAGTAATCGCTCTGCATAAGCAGAATGCACAGCTCCTTTACGTCCAGTGTGTTCAGACCGTGAGCGGTCAGAACTAATGCATTCTGACCTGAGAGCAGATCGTGACTGAAGCGGCATCCTCGTCTGCAAGAGAAAACAGAGGTTTTATTTTAGTTACTTGTAAGCATTAGGATGAGTTTGCTTCTTCGTCAGATTTGGAGAAATGTGTCACTGCATCAGTGTCTCAGCAATGGATGCTCTGCAGTGAATGGGTGCCGTCAGAATGAGAGCTGATAAAAACATCACAATAATCCACAAGTAATCCACAGCACTCCAGTCCATCAGTTAACATCTGGAGAAGACAAAAGCTGAAACAAATCCAGCATTAAGACGTTTTTAACTCAAATACCATAGAGTCCATAATCCATAATAACGCTTCCTCCAGTGAGTCAGTGTTCTGGTGTGAATCAGGAGAGAAATCTGCACAGATCAAGCAGCGTTTAAACAGCTCTAAACACATATGTGGCTGGATTTTGATGCGAGAGACAACAGGAGATGCATTTATGGACTCTATGGTATTTGAGTTAAAAACGTCTTAATGCAGGATTTGTTTCAGCTTTTGTCTTCTCCAGATGTTAACTGATGGACTGGAGTGCTGTGGATTACTTGTGGATTATTGTGATGTTTTTATCAGCTCTCGTTCTGACGGCACCCATTCACTGCAGAGCATCCATTGCTGAGACACTGATGCAATGCTACATTTCTCCAAACCTGATGAAGAAACAAACTCATCCTAATCTTAGGTGGCCTGAGAGTGAACACATTTCCATTTTCAGGTGAACTGTTCCTTTAACACAAACATCCAGCCAAACCCACTGATGTATTTATAGTTCATTAATTGTAGCACTTAAAAATATCCTATGACGCATGTTTGAATGATCCAACAAGCTTTAGAGGTGAGGTGTATAACTATGATGTTTTGATTGTAGGCGTGGCGTGTTTAAAGATGGTGGTGATGCTTGAAGAATAATCAAATCATAATAACAGTGCATTCAAATATTGTAATGTTTTAATGTTTATTGTTTCTGTTTGAAACACATCTGATACAGTATGTACCTACATGACATCCTTGTATGAGGATAGTTGATTTTTAAATAAAAATATTACACACACATCCAAAATAAAAGTTTCTGTTGACATAATATATGTGTGTACTGTGTATATTTATTATGTATATATAAATACACACACATACAGTATATATTTTGAAAATATTTACATGTATATACATGTATAATTTATTTCACAGATAAATATATTTAATATATAAACATAAATAGTTCTTAAATAATATACATAAATATATACTTTTATTTTGGATGCGATTAACCGTTTGACAGCACTTTATATACATATATATATATATATACATGTATATATGTGTGTGTGTGTGTGTGTGTGTGTGTGTATAGTCTGAGCATATAGGTTTTTTTGTTTTATTTATCTACTAATTAATGGAATATTTTCAAACTTTAACGATAATAACATGATGTGTGCAGTAGAGGGTTAATACTGTTTATAGACTGAATAAATATTGAATCTATAGCCACAGATTTAGCAAACGTAATGGGACTCATAAATCATCTGAATGATTTATCATCTGATACAATGTGAACCATGATTCCTAACGCTTGACGATATTATAAAGAAGATAGTTCCGGTGCTTGATTCTGATTGGCTGAGCCGCGTTCGAAGCTGTTGTAAGTGACTCTACAAACATACACCTTTGTTTACGTTTGTCTGTTGCTCGGCAACCAGTTTAATGGAACCACAACTGTTTCTCAGGAACTACATTGTTTGGCGGAAGAATACTGTTTTTAATAATATCATTACACTTTATTTGCTCTGTTTTATTCTGTGAAACCGTACTACGTATATGTGAATAACCGTTTTATAAAAGGGGGCGTTGTTAGGCACCTACTTGCTTTAGTAATATGGTTTAAAAATAACCCATTTGATCTGCTTCGACGGTAAACGCACTCACCTTCCTCTGTCGAAGCGGCAGGAACCGAACAGAAACCACTTGCACAGATGCAGATTCGAGCAGCCCGGACAGTTCTGGACTCGACACAGACGGACTTTGGTTCTGGCGATCACTTTCTTCTGTCCGTTCGCGAACGCCACCGCAACCGATCCGCTGCTACCGACGAGCGAGTCCACGGCTTCATCGTACAGACCGAATATTGACGTTAAAGCATCGTAATTCATAGATCCGTTATGAGCGCAGATCTTCTTAACGATCGCCGCCTCCGTCATGTTGAAGTGAATCAGTTCTGGTGTTTATGGATGTAAACAGGTGTAAACAGAACCGAGTTTATGGATTGACTCGGAAATAAAAGTGAATCCTGAGGAGAGGAAAACGAAACTTAAACATAGAGGAGGAGGAGCTTAAAGTGAACGTCGCCGTTATCAGTCACGTGAGAGGTCGATAACTAAACTATAAAAACGACACCAGCTCCGCTTAAAGTCAAATGTCCAACTCAAATTTTACTCATAAATTTAAGAAATGTTTTTTTAACTAACTGCTCTTTTATTTAACTTTTTTAAATAAAAGAATCGAGAATAAAATAATTTGTGTGATGCCGCATTTACGCCACTAGATGTCACTGTAAGTCCAGCAATTCAATGTATGAATATAATGTGACAACATGCCCCACAGAGAAACGTTTTGTATCAATGACAAAATTAAAGAAGTTTCTTACAAAACATTATCCAGGATTTATTCAGTTACATGTTTTGTCACTGTGTCTACTCAATCATTATTTAATTATTATATTATTTAATTATAGTATTATTATAAAATCTAGAAATCTATATTAATCGAAAAATTAGATGTATGATTTGAGAGATTTGTGTATTTGATGTTTTTTTTTTATTTGCAGAATGATATTTTGAAAAGTAAAGGACAATATGTTATCAATTATTTATTTTTACTAGGCAAATACCATGTGTATAAAAATGGGCTATTTTCAAACACAATTTTTCATTTTATTAAGGACTTTTTATACATTATAAACCTAACGGAACTAACTAAAAAAACACTGAAATAGTCTTGTTCTTGTGGTATTAAATAAAAACGTGTTATGTGAACAGACCTACTGTATATTGGACTTTTTGCGTGCAACAAGTAAGAAAATTTAGCTTTTTTTTTTAGTAGTCTTAAAGTTAAGGTGTGTGTAAAAACTATAGGTTAAAACTGATAAATAATAAAAAATAATAATAATAATAAATAAATAAATAACGTGTGACAACTAGCCCCGGTCTGATCTGCAATAATAATGTATGTAATACCAGTATTATCCAGCAGGTGTCGCACGTTTATCTAAATACGAGCCGTTTATAATCTAATAAATTGCTAAAATGTTTAAAAATCTTGCATTCTCATTTGATTTCATTATGATTGATCGTCAAGTTAACTGGAATGGGGGAAAAAATAACAAATTAAAATATATATTATAAAATATATATAACTTAAAAGCAATTAGAACTTTGCAGCAGTTTGATATGTACAACATTTTTTGTAATTATGTATATGTGTACATTTATATGGAAAGGAAAGAAAAAAGAATACATATATACATATAAATGTTAGCCTCTTGTATGTACACTATTATAAGTTCTAGATAAAAATAAATAAAGTTGAAAAAAAAAAGAAAACGTTTGAGGAAAAAGTCAAACATTACAGTGTAAAGATGATGTAAATGTACTGTTAATAAGATCACGTGATCATATCATTGCGCTTCTGTACGTGTTTATATTATGGCTGGATTATTCAACGCTTATTGTATTCGATGCGATATTTTGAACACTCAGAATGATATTGTGAAAGCTTCCACTCGCTTCCCGTGCTGCTGAGCTGATCCCGGATCAGCGCGGCGGATTTGACGCGGCGCCGCAGAAGCGCTGCGATAAAGCGGCGCGTTGATCCGGTGTCCGTTCAAAAAGGCCGCTGTTCCGCGCCTGACGCACGCAAACGCCTATGGAAGGCCAAAAGGGCCAAAAACACGTGAATTTTAACGCGTTGTTGACGCGTTAAAATTCACGTGTGTTTGGCCCTTTTGGCGTTCCATAAACGCCCACCGCGCTGATTTCCTGCGTCGCGTTTCCCTTTAAGCGCCGCGCGCTGCCTGGAATTCACGTCACTTCGCCGCGAAGCGTCCCGATCAATGAGGTTCCGCGCTACGCGTTGCGTCGCGTTCCTGCGAGCGACGCTTCCAGGAAGGTGTTAACCATCGCGCTGCCGCAATGTAGCGCCTGCTCGCGCGTTTACAAACAAGAACACAGAGAAGTTGAAGTATTCCGCGCGGGGCGAGGCCAATGGATGCGAGAGCGCGTTAAAATCGCCTGCGCGTCGCGAGGGGAACATTATTATCCAGGCGCTTTATTTCGCGGAAGAACAAGGGAGAGGAAAGTGGAAACAGAAGAACTTCCTGAATTTCAGCGAGACATGTCCGAGTCCCCCTCGCAGGTCATTATTAAGGTAATCCTGCCTTTTCTTTCTCGTCTAGAATGATAACGCGGAAGGTGGGATGCGTCACATCATCTGTTGCTGCGATCGACGCGTTGAGTTGCTCGCTTGTGACTTGATTTGCGCGATGAACGCGACTCGCGGTGGCGTTTAAACGATGCATGCGTTCCCTGGAGCCATCGGTGGGAAAAGTTCAGAAGCGAGTTCGAGTTCGAGTTTGGCTGCGCGTGGAGGACTTTCACCACAATAACATTAGTTTGCATTGGTTATTTAGTAACAGGGAGCGAGCAGAACGCTGGGAACGCAGTTGTTATCAGCGCTGCTCTTTGACCGCACTGCTTATGGCATCTTAATAGAGAGCGATCACATCCTTCAGTGGCTTCTTGCACAGTTGCTCGTGCGTTTATTTGTGTTGTACGTGCAGTGAAGCGTCACACCTGGCCTACACTGGTCGCTCGTCCTGAAAGACCTATAGGCAGGCACTGAAATGCACGTTATAATTCATGAGTGTTTAATTTTTGTAATTGTTTGTACTTTGTAGCGTTTAATCAAACTGTAGACCAATAACTGGATCTTCCAGTGTCTGCTGATGTATGCAGGACTCCTCCAATCATTTAGTGCTCTTAAGCTCCGCCCCTGCATACATTTCAGTGCCACGCCCACATCTCAACATCCAATCAGCAACTGATGCACATAACCAAGTCCCGCCCCACAGATTTTCTTGTTCGATAACCCGTTACTATGTTTTTTTTTTCAATTATGTCTTAAGTAGATGTTATGTCATGCAAACAATAGGCTATATTTTCTCATAATAATGATATGTCACTAAAATGCTTTTTTTTTGCAAGTGCGAGATAATGTGTCGATAATATGTTTACTCATTTAAATGACATTTTCTCGTAATAGCGAGATTTATTTATTTTTTTTGTTAAAAACAATATACATTTTTCATAATAGCCAGGTAGTGTGTCGTTAAAACTATATATTTTCTCGTTAAAATGACATATTCTTGTAATAACGAGATGTTAAAAACTATGCTTTTTGTAATAATAAGATAATGTTTTTGTTAGAATGACATTTTCTCGAAATAACAAGAAGCCAATATACATTTTTCATAATAGCGAGGTAATTTGTCTTAAAACTATATATTTTCTCATTAAAATGGCATTTTCCCGTAATAACAAAAATGCTATGTTATTAAAAATGATGATTTGTTCGTAATAATAAGATAATGTGTTGTTAAAGTGTTGTTTTTGTTAAAATGACATTTTCTCATAATAACGAGAGGTCATGTTGTTAAAAACAATTTTTTTTTGTAATAGCGAGATTGTTGTTAAAATGAAGTATTTTCTCGTTAAAACAAATTTTTTTGTAATAAAAATATTTTTTGTAATTTTAGCAATATATGTTCTCGTAGTAACAAGATATGTCTCACTTGTAATCGCGAGATAATGCATCGTTAATGTAATATTTTGTCCTTAAAACATAATTTTCTTGTAATAATGAGATGTTAGGCGTACGTCGTTAAAAACAATGTTTTTTCATAATAAAGAGATGTGTCATAATTCTCGTAATTGCATTATAAGTTTTTCTGTTTCCGTTGATGTGCATCACGATATGGAAGATATATCGCCGCTTTCATTTAATCGCGACTTCAAAGCATCTGATTGATAGCGTCAGCCTGTCTTATTCATCGCTGCTCTTTCTGATGCGCCTTATACCTTATTTTATGCTTATAATAATAATGAGTGTTTTTAATGCAAACCTGATGTGTTTGGGATTTGCATGTTTTGCCCTGCATCTCCAGGTGTTCCCGCGACCGCCGAGAGCTTTCTGACAGTTGTAGAAACATCCACACTCGGGTGGAGCGGCTTTGTTCAATGCAGCCGCATGCAAATGAGCCGATTATCGCTTTTGATTTTGCATGCTTTCATTTGCACGGGGTGCTGGACATGATGATTTACCCTGGAAATTTCAGTTCTCTGTGCGAAATCTACCGTAGCCCTTATATGGACAGAGAAAATCATCAGGAAACTGAACAGGAAATCAGAAGGGAAATCACAGCAGCTGAAGAACACTCAAATGCCAAGCATGATCTCAGAGCGTCGTCAGCACTCGCATTAATCATATTCACACTATTGTGCAATACAGAAGTCGGCTGTTTTCTATGAGACTTAATATTCATTTGCCTCTATAGGTAAATAACTAGATAATCATACTAAACAATTAATATTCTTTAGCCTTTATGTAATTAACTAGATAATCATACTAAAATTATTATTCATTAGCCGCAATGGATAAACAACTACTAATTATTATTAATTTATATTCATTAGTCAGAACATATTATTAATTAATAAATTATTCATTAGTATCGATTAATATATTAATAGAGAAATCACAGCTCTAACTGTAAATAAGTAGATATTTATTAATATTGATTAATATTCATTAGTCACTATCGAAAAACAACAAGATATTCATTTGTGTCCATTAATATTAATTACCAGCAATAGGTAAATTGTGGGTAATGAGTATTATTATTGATTAATATTCATTAGTCCTTATAGGTAAATAACTACATTATTCATTCATTAGTGTTACTTAATATTCATTATTCACTATACTTGGACAACTAGATAATCATTTGTATTAATATTCATGAGCCACTATAGGTAAATTACTAGATATTTATTAGTATTAATTCACATTCATTAGCCGCTATAGTTAAATAACTAGAAGAATAACAATGTGCAGTAAGCGGTGAAACTATTTGTGCTGCAAACCAGTGCAATTATAATAAATTACAATAATATGATATAATATAATAATATCAGTTTGTTGAACTTCAAGCTGTGTTTGTCACTGGAAGTGAATGACACAGAACACTCGAGTTCCTACGTTAAAAACGAGGCGGATAATGTTTGTCAGATAGTGAGTTCAGGTGCTGATGCGTCTGCATGACCTCTGCATGACCTTTGACCTGTCTGCGGGGTCACCGAGCGTCAGTGAGCAGCTTCACGTGTCTCTCCGTGTTCATTCTGAGCAAAACAACTCTTTATTACTGTTTGCTCGTGCTAGTTGATCTGGTGTGTGAGTGAGTGTGTGGGAATGTGTGAGTGTGTGTGACAGTGTGAGAGCGTGTGTTTGTGTGTGTGTGTGTGTAGGAGATTGTGAGTGTGTGTATGTGTGTGTAAGTGTATGTATGTGTGTGTGTGTGAGAGAGAGTGTGAGAGAGAGTGTGTGTGTGTGTGTGAGAGTGTGAGAGCGTGTGTGTGTGTGTGTGTATGTGTGTGTGTGTGTGTGTGAGAGTGTGTGAGAGAGTGTGTGTGTGTGTGTGTGTGTGTGAGAGTGTGTGTGTGTGTGTGTGTGTGTGTGTGTGTGTGTGTGTGTGTGTGTGTGTGTGTGTGTGTGAAAGTGTAAGAATGCAGGGATAAGTTTAGGGTTAGGGTTGGGTTAGGGTTGGGTTAGGGGATAGAAAATATCATTTGCTCAGTATAAAAACAATAGAAGTCGGAAACATATGGAAAGTCCCCACAATTCACAGAAACAAACGTGTGTGTGTGTGTTCAGCAGGAGAGGAGTGTTTTCAGTCCGTCCGCGAGCCCGTTGCCAAATTCCACTTCCTCTCCCTGCCATGTCCCGCCCTCTTCAGCTAACGCCAGGATAGAAGAGGAACCAACCAGACTGCCTGCACACCTGCGTGAGTGACACACACACACACACACCTCCGACGTGCTCTATACAACAACCTGAGACACACGCTCACACACTCACACTCACACACACACACACACACTCAGAGGTAAGAGAGTTTCAGCGCTCTGTACATCCATAAATCCATCAGAGATTTACCAACATTACTACATCTCCAGCACTTTATGCAAACCAAAAATAAAAAACAAGCCCATTTCATAACTGCATAAAGAATGACTGACATGAAGCTGCAGAAGTGCGAGAACAGAAACTCAACTGTTAGCTTGCATCAGTCTTGAAACATGGGTTTTTAAATCGTGAATACTTTGTTCAAATCAAGAATTGATTTAAAACATATATATATATAATGAACTTGGATCGCAAGGATTGAGTAGACAGGAAGTGGAAATCAAACCAATAGCTGGGTTTATAAGTAACTTGGATGGAGTGCAGCAGTCGTTGGCTTCCGTCTGTAACGAGGACACGCATGTCAAACAGACGGGTTAAATATTGATCAGATCCTGATCCGAGCGGGATGCGTCCAGACCTGCCTCACATTCACAGCACTAACCGCTAACCGCTACAGCTACACAACACACACACACAACAGCACTGAGAGACTCGTCTGGAGAAAACACCACCACATACAAGATACAAGAGCGGATGGTTCTGCTTGTTTTTAGGGCTGCACAACTTGTCCAAACTTTTGTGATTATAAACACACTGGCTTGTAGCTCAAATAAGTGCACACCTATAGTGACAAATGAAAATGACCAAACACACACACACACACACACATATATACACATTCAAACCAAGACTTATTCAGACAGCTTCAACATTTCTCACATTATATCACAGTTTATTCACTATAGTTTATAAAATGGTAATAAAATATGACTCAGAGTTGAACTGTGTCAGAACAAACTCATCTTGATCATGATAGAAAGGTATGTAATGAATTCAGCTGATAAATATAAGAACACAATTAGATAATACCAATCTAGCTCAACCGGTTACCAAGCAATGCTTCATTTAGTTTAGTCTGTGGTGTAAAAGATCACATTAGCAATTAAAGAAAAAACAGTTGAGCAAAACAAAAATGACCAAACACACACACACACACACATATATACACATTCAAACCAAGACTTATTCAGACAGCTTCAACATTTCTCACATTATATCACAGTTTATTCACTATAGTTTATAAAATGGTAATAAAATATGACTCAGAGTTGAACTGTGTCAGAACAAACTCATCTTGATCATGATAGAAAGGTATGTAATGAATTCAGCTGATAAATATAAGAACACAATTAGATAATACCAATCTAGCTCAACCGGTTACCAAGCAGTGCTTCATTTAGTTCAGTCTGTGGTGTAAAAAGATCACATTAGCAATTAAAGAAAAAACAGTTGAGCAAAACATGCTCAGCTCAAAGTGTCAATCATTTTTGCTCCCAAATTGTACTGTTAGACGAGTTTTTGGGTTTAATATGTTACAGTTCACTTTATTTTGTGAAATAAAGAGCGTGTTTGTTTATTTATTTTATTTCTCTATCTATCTATCTATCTATCTATCTATCTATCTATCTATCTATCT